CAAGCAGGCTTCAGCTCAAATTGCCGTGCCGGTGATGAAGTGCTGGCACTCAGCACCGGCACGGAGAATGGCTTCCAGGCCCGGCAGAAGACAGGTGCGGTGTGATTCCTAGATTTTCCTGCTGCCTAGGACAGGATCTGGCACACAGGCCTCCTGTGCAAACTGTCACTAGTCCTACAGAAGTGGGTTGTGTGACTGTGGGCCTGTTGCTGTGAGGCAGTCGGTTTCAAGATTCACTTGGACAAAAACACAGCTTCTGGGAGTCCAATAATGGTCTGTCCTCAGGGCCCAAGTCTAGCACCGACACTTCAGTGACCGTCCCAGCACCACCCCCCCGGCATTGTATTTACAGAGAACACAGCCGTCTGGCAGTGCCGGACAGGGACTGCAGGCGTCTAGAAGTCCTAAACGCTAACATAACAGAGAGGCCTAGGGTTGTGGAAGGGGGAGACAACCTACTACCAAAAAGACAGTTTCAAGCTGCTTCCACCTACACCAAAACAGCCAACGAACGGCTTCCTGGAGGGGGACAGGCTGGTCTATGACCCAGAGCCTGTGTATCTAGGTGTTACGATGGCCTGAACCATGACTGTCAAGGAAAAGCTCACCGAGACTCACTGAAAATACAAGAAACAAACTGATGAGCAGCCAGTTGGTCTATGCGGGAAGCCCAGGTGCAGCCCCTGCCTTGTGCTGTCCCGGAGCAGAGTTCTGCTCCCCGCCGTGGCACTAGCCGACACACTGATGAATGAAGCCGGCAAGGGCTGCCTGGTCTCTCGTAGCCTTGTACAATCCCTTCTCCCAGCGATTCAATGGCTCAGACAGACTGACTGTCGATGTAGATGCAAATGCAATATATACACACAGGGTGCCTGACTGCCCAGCCAGAGGGCCCTGGCTCTGCGGGCACTCGCCTGTCTCCCTCCCTATGGGGCTGGACAGCCGGGCACCAGCCTGTGAATGGCATCTCCTACCGTGCAGCGGCCGCCAGCTGGTTCTTGAGGTTGGGGGCAGTGGGGTCTGCGGAGAGCGCCTTAGCCGCCAGGAGCAGCTTGCTGGAGGACATAGAGATGCTCTTCAAGTTCGACACCACCTGTGCTTGGTCCTCCTTATTCTGCAACCAGCCAAGAGACCCACCAGTCACCCTTGCAGGTCACTCAGAGCCAGCCCTGCTCAGCCACACCTCCTGCCCCTGCCCACACCCCCAGGAACCCCTGCCCGGCTCAACCCACCAGCTGCCCTACCCAATTCAAGCAGAACTTGCTAATGCCCTCTACCACCAGCCAGCCACCCCTTCCCAACTCCGCAAACAGCCCAACCGCCAGCTCAGTAACCCACCAGTCACACCGCCATCCGGCCCAGGCACTGAATAGACAGCCAAGCACTGCATCAGCCTCTCACACCAACCCCCCAGCCATCCCACCTACGGCCAAATGGCTCTTCAGCCAGGCACTGGAGAGCCAGCCAACCCCCCAGCCAGCCAGCCACTCACGCCAACCCCCAGCCAGCCACTCACGCCAACCCCCCAGCCAGCCACTCACGCCAACCCCCCAGCCAGCCAAAGACTTTATCAGCTGCTCACGCCAATCCCCTACCCAGCTAGCCACCTATGCCAAACTGCCAGCCATCCCACCTACCTGCCAAATGGCTCTTCAGCCAGGCACTGGAGAGCCAGCCAACCCCCCCAGTCAGCCACTGCACCAACCAACCCCCAGCCTTCCCACCTATCTGCCAAACACTCTTCAGCCATCCAGCCCAGGCACTGACTAGCCAGCCAACCACCCCCGGTCACTGTAACAGTCGCTTACACCCCAGCCACCCACTGCCAATCAGCACTGCCAGCCAGCCGCTCACCCCAGCCAGACACCTACTGTACCAATTGCTCCTGCAACCCCTCCGCCAACCAACCCACCCATTAAACTCCCCCTGGGCCGGTCAGCGGCAAGGCGCCTGCTCTTACCGGGGACTGGCCAGCCATCTCCACGCCGGCCTCCAGGAACTCATTGAAGTCCTGCCCGAATTTGCCGGAGGACCTGGCCAGGTCCTGGGGGGTGCCCCGGGAGGCCTGCACCAACTCGTTGGCAGACTGGTTCAGCCCAGCTGCTGCCTGGTTCAGCTGGCTCTGTGCCTCCTGGAAGCTCTTGGTGCTGGGTGGGAGCTGGGAGCAGAGACAGAGGTGTTGGGGGGGGACGACACACAGGAGGGGGAGGTCACAGCCACAGGTATCCAAGCCCTGCTCCCTCTGGGCAGTGCAGGGAGTCCTAGAGATGGGGCACACCTCGATTCCAACAGCAGGGGCTGGCGGCAGCACAGACAGCTGGCCAGTGCCCACGCGCTGCCACCGCCTGGCGTGCCAGGAGCATGTAGCTGTGCTGGGCAAAGCAGCC